TTTCCCTGTGCTGAATTGGCATGCCTTTCACTAGGGCTAAATAATAATTGTGTGTACTTGGAGAAGTCACTGCTGCACTTATGCATATGTAATTCCATTTCAAGATATCTCTGAGCCCCTCACACTGCTAAAATACTGATTTGATTTGAGGCTGCTTGATAGAAATAAAAACAACAAGTACTCACTTTATGCTCTTAATCAGTCTGGGCAAACTCTCTTGTCCTCTACAAAATTTTTATCATAGCCATTCACGTCATTTAAAAATTTTAAGCTAAAGGGCAGAATTGATGCAAAAAATGAGGAAATTGATATAATGATGTTTTTATACTAAAAAATGATGTCTGAGTCTAGAAAATGGTTATAACTTTGATTTTCACTCAGACTTTTCTCCCTCAAATTGTTCTATTGTCAAAGAGAATTACTCATGTGTATACAATGTAAAGTTCTCTCCCAAGATGGAACTTCCTTTCATATTTATAGCTATAACTTCTAAATAGGGCTTGGTATATGGTATTTGTCTTCGTTATATGTTTCTTATTTAACAAATTATTGTTTCCTCTTTTAGATCTGCAATACTTTTCCTTCTCTCCTTGATTATTTCCCAGGAATTCATAACAAATTATTTTAAAATGTTGCTAATGTAAAAAGTTATATTTTGGGGACAATAAAAGAACACCAAGAATCTTTGGACGTTAACAATCCTCAAGACTTTTTTGATTGTTTCCTCATCAAAATGGAGCAGGCAAAATGTTAGTAACAGCTCAGTCCTTTGATTCCTTGCACATCTGGTAGTTTATTGAATAGTTCTGTATTTACTAGGAATGTTTCAATTGTCAGGCCAGTAATGCTTGACAAGCATTTTAAGTACCTGTNTTTACTAGGAATGTTTCAATTGTCAGGCCAGTAATGCTTGACAAGCATTTTAAGTACCTGTAGTGTACACAAAACTACACTAAACATTGCAGAAAAGATATAATTAAATTGTTAACTAATTCGAATACATTGACCCTGTTCTTTAGATATATATAATCTACTGGAGGAAGAACAGAATGCACACACACTTCAGGTGAATGGAAACAATTACAAAGAAATTAGAAAGTACAAAATATCATGTCACAATATGAAGATGTACAAGTGTTTTATCCTCTTCTATAGTTTAGAAAAATTTGAGTAATAATTGGTTTTAATTCTTTGAAATTTTTGGGTGAAATTGAACAGTGAAGTCATCTGGTCTTCCTGGACCTTTCTTTTTCTTTTTTCTTTCTTTCTTTGTTTTATTTCTTGGAGTTTTTTGTTTACTAATTCTTTACTTTCTGTAGGTGTGTTCACATTTTCTATTTAACTTTGAATCAGTTTTGGTAATTTTTTGTTCATACGAAGCTTTTCATTTATCAAGATTATCTACTTTGTTGATATAAAATTGTTTACAGTATTCTTTTATAATAGGATTATATTACTATTATATTAGAATTTATAATATCTTTTCATTTTTAAAATCAGTAGTATTGTCCCTACTTTCAGTTTTGATTTATTTATTGCTGTCTCCTCTTTTTATGCTCAGTCAGTTTAACTAAGTGTTTCTCAATGTTGTCGATCTTTTCAAATGACCATTATTTGGTGTCATTGATTGTTCTAATACTTTTCTCCTTTTTAAAAAATCTCTTCTTCCTTCTGGTGGCTTTGAGTCTAGTTTGCTGGGTTTTTTTTTTTTTTT